AACAATGGAACAACCCCCCCCCCCCCCCCTTGATTTTAAGTCATGTATATCGATTTAAAGTTTCTCATAGTTATTTGAATGTTTATATAGCTCTTAAATGTTTCGTGACTATACTGAAAGTTTAGAATGGTCAACTGAAGTCTATTAGATGTGTTCAGATTTGAATAATATTTCAAATTTCAGCTCAGCTATTCATATGACTCTTACTTTGCAAAATATGAGACAGTTATTATAGTATTTCTCGACTGTTTAAATTCGAAGAGTTTTATATGTATTTGATTTTCGAACATTTCTTCATTGTGGTGTTATATGTAACCTTGAATAAGGATTTGAACGCTGTGCAATATTTCTTATAGAACTGAAGATATGTGGGTTTAGTTTTGTAATTCAGCTTTCTTAACATTATTATTAGATAGAAAAATATCTGTGAAACCACGGTAACATTTTTATTTCCGATCGGCAAAAAAGATCAACTTGAATAGCTTTGAAATTTTGTAGTTTTTACTTTTTGTTAGCCTCGTTTTACATGATAAAATCTTCAAGGCACGATATGCGTGTATATATATATACATATATATCATTGGAAATGGTACTTGCTTACTTCAGTAGAGAAATTTCCCGTGCAAGAAAAGGGGTCTAGTTTTTTTTTCTGTAACTTACTTTAGTCTACGCGCAGAAAAAATTCTTCTCATCAACATTTTCCAGTTGAGAAAATTTCCTATTTCATATTAAAGAACATTGTGTGATGATTATCTTGTGTGTTCAGAATAGAAGTTCATTTATTTTAAGCGAACTTTACTTTAAAAGTAACAGGATTTTTTTTTCTGTATCACATCATTTGTACGGTGTATTTTTGTGCTAATATAACCTTCGTTGTCGACTTCATTTTTCCTTTGACAAACATATACCGCAATCGTTGTCAAGTAAAATCATCATATTCATTCACAATGAACGCAAACAAAGCGAGAAACTTTATGCCAAGACATTCGTTCTGTTCTTTTTTTTTTATTTTTTTTATTACACGTGAGCATCAAACGAGCTCTTAAACCGGAAAAAAAACTGTTTTTTTCATCGCTGCATCGCGAAGAAAAGCAAGGTTATGCAATGATAAACTATTTAAATAGAAGAAAATTCTTGAAACTCATTTAATGCAGCTGTTTTTATTTTCTTTACTCAATCTTTTCTTTTTTCACATTCAGATATCAGATTCAAATAGATTGAAACAAAGAATCAAATAGCAAAAACATAGACTATGACAATACCAGTTGTTATTGTCGGTATTGTTGTCCTTTCAGTGACAATCACGGTTTGTACAGTCATTTTATTGGTGAGTAATTTTTCCATTGGAAAAGAATGATTCTTATTTTACATGAATTCTTTTTCTATTCTAGGGATTTTGTTTGTGGCCGGTTATTCAAGAATTGCAAGAAGCTAAACGTTTGAAAGAAAGACAAAATAAACAGGCAAATTCATCCGGTTTTCTCAATGTTAGAAGTGAACGTATTTAATTATTTTTTATGCATTATGTTTTTTTATACCTTTTCATATGTTAATATTTTTGTCATAATTAAATACAATATCACGTTTTAGTCATTGTTGTTGATTATGAAATCATACGATTTTTATTTATTGAACGATATCATGACATATTAATATCATTTATTATGATGAAACGGAAGTCATTTTTTTAAACAAATCAACTATTAAACAAATAAACAATGTGTGAACTCATGATTGTAATAGTTAAAAAGGTCAATGTCAAATATGTATGAGAGAAATATTATTATTTGAACATGGAATAGAATTGATTTTTCAATTGTTGACTGGTTTAACCTTGAACATAATACCGTAATTGCAAGAAGAATAATCATTTAAAGTCACAAATAATAGATTTAAAGAGAGAAAATTCATATAATAGATATATATTTTTAATTCTAAATTTGATGAAACAATATATTATCTTGACATTTTGTTACGCCGACATTAATGTGTGAACGTGCAAGTGAATTCTATTTAAAATTGATTGCAAGGTTTTCAGTGAGCTACAATTATATTTAATCATCGAGACTGCTGTTCCAATTCAGTGCCATACAAATTGTGAGTTTGCATTGGTGGAATTTTAATTCTCTGTACAACTATATTTATCTATAAAGACTTTTCTTTCCAAAAAAAATAGAACAAATAAAAATACCCAGCTATTTTAAATTCAAGACAAAGATTTTCTTTTATTGTTTTTGACATCTGTAAATCGCGTGTTTATAAAGAAGTTTAAGAGGATTAAGTCAAAAACATCAGAAAGACTCACTTTTGTTTTGATTGGCTTTGATAGGGTGCATACAGCACAGTTCAGTTTTATGTTTTCATTCTCATTATGATATTGGCTGCATTGAGAGTAGAAATTCAGGCGATCAAAGTCTTTGAATAGTAATCCTTCTTTACCCTGTGTTTTGTTTCACTTTAGATTTATTTGTTAGTACATTTTTCTGATTTTCTGTAACCTAACATTTTTATGCTTCAGCATAAAAATATCGTCTGAATTCATGAAAAATAATATTTTCATGAGTAACTCGATACGGTTTATATTTAACCATACTAGAAACTTCTTCTATAATTTTGTATTGTCGGT